CCAACAGGATTTCCTGAAAATTTGAGAAACCACAACCCTATTGCTGTCAAAAGAACAATATGGAGCAGAGGCATGAGGGGGCAAGTTTGAAATAAGTTTTTTGTCCTGCTAGAAACAAGGCATTTTTGCCAGGAGGGACGAGACTCCTTGCAAAAGCTCATTTACTTCCACACCTCCATTGAAAAGCTGTTCCTTTTCCACCCTCCGCCCACTTCCAATTTGCAGCAGAAGCTGAGGTTTTTTTTTCTTCTCTTATTGGAGAACTAAAATCCTGTCTTCCGCCCCCCCCCACCCAAAACCACTTTCCCCCTTTAATGTGCTGGCTGACTGGCTGGCAGGACAGAAGGTGATTTGAAGGGGACGGACTCAAATAGTCAAAACGGTGTAAAATTGCTTTCAAAATCCATTTAAGGGGGGGTGGGGGATGAATCGAGGAAAAAGAACGAAGCAACGGATTTTGATTTGCCAAGCTGCACAAGCATTTAAGAGTACAAAGAGTAGAGGGTGGGTGAAGAGGAGGTACTCAAAAGGGAAAAAAAAAGGGTTATAGAAAGCAGCAAGTTAACTGCTATCTCTAAACATGCTGGACTTGCAGGAAGGGCATCCAGCCAGTAAACACTTCGCTCCATTCAGTTGCTCTGACCCCACCCCGATTGTAAGGAATTACGGGGTCATTAAAAGACAAATATAAATATAAATGTAGGTATGTATGTTGACTGCAGCAAAGTTACTTTATGCACAAAAATGGAAGGACATTTCGATCCCCACAATGGACGGACAGAAAATGGGCAAATGAAACTTTGATCTGGGGTTTTACTAATGAGATAGGTTTGTTGTAATAGAAATGGCTAGTTTATACTACCATGGAAAAAGTAAAAAGTTGAGGTTTGATGTTAATGCTTTATTCTACAGCACCAGAGGGAGGGAGTTGGAAGTCAAAGCCTTTTTTTCTCTTTTCCCTTTTCTACGCTTCTCCTTTCCCCTTTCCCTCCCTTATTTTTCCTTCTATTTGCTTCCGTATTTTTGCATTTTAATAAAAACTGTAAATTTTGGGAATCGTGACAAAAAAGCTAAGTTTGCAATTAATCATCACATTTATAACCTTCGGCAGATCTGCAAAGCAAAGCAAAGCTGAAGGGGGATCATAAGCACAGTAGCTGTTTCGTTTAGCAACTACTTCGCTTAACCAAGTTGCAAGTGCCAATTACGACTAACAAACGTATGAATGGCTGAGAAATGTTCTTGCTCATCTGGGGTGCTGCTGCCATCTAGAGGACAAACTCAGAATTGTTGAGTGTGTATCAGTTCCTTGACAAGAGAACATCAATCGGCAAAGGGAGAAAAAAAAACCAGGCTAGAAATGCTGGATCTCAAAATGCAAAGGCTGCCTGTTTTTAAAGACTATGCAAATATTTTAGATCGACTAACCCCTGAGATCAGGCGGGCCCCTTCCCTGGAGGCTTTGAAAAAGTGATTAAAAAGGGAGTCGCCTCACCAAAAAATGTATCTATATGTTGGTCTTTTCCCTTCTACTTCGGTTTTTGCATTTGAGACTTATTGTCTGAACTCTGTTGTTGCTTTTATCGTAGCAGCAGTTGTCAACTTGCAAGTAATTGTCAAATCAATAAGTAAATCAAACTAAAATTATGATGCAGAGGTAGCCTGCTACCACTTATCACCTATGCCAGGGGTGGGGTTTGGACTGGTTCGGGCGAACCGGAAGTTCCAGTGAGCGTTTAGTTTAGTTTAGTTTAGTTTAGTTTAGTTTAGTTTAGTTTAGTTTAGTTTAGTT